AACTAATGCTTCACACTTGATCTTCAAGGAGTCTTCAAGGGTTGAGAGTTGCTTCCAACAACCTCTTGGTTTCTCTCTTACTTGCTTGGCTTGATGAGGAGAGAAATGGCCGAAGCCAAGGGAATAAGGAGAAGGAAGGAGTCCTTTATCTTGTTGCTTGGTGCTTCACGACCTTAGGGGGAGGAGGAAGCTCTTTGCTTGTTCTTTTATTCAAGCCTTGCAATCATTTCCTTGAGGTATTAGGTTATGACTTGTGAGTGTGGAGGAAGCTATCTACATGCATTTGGGTGAAGGGTACTTGAGTGTAACTTGTGAATGTGGGGGAAGTTATCTACATGCATTGGTGGTGAATGGTGTTTGGATGTGGAGTGTGAGCAATCTTTCCTTGTTCTTTGTTGATGGCCGAGTGTGTAAGGATGAGAGGTGATGCAGGTGTTCCACTTGGCACTTGACTTAGTTTGGTCTTTTGAGTGAGAGAGAAAATTCCTTGCTTGCCTTAGTTGATGGTCGTGACTTGTGGGAAAGATGGAAGATATTTTCCTAATTTTTAATTCAAATCTATTCATGATAAAGGCACATGATTCAAGGAGGGTTTGAGTGTGAATTTGTACTAGGATTTCTTGGCTCCTTGAGTGATGTGGCCGTGAGGAGAGAGGAGCTTTGGTCATGTGACTTCCCTTGGTGACCGTGTATGCCTAAGGAGGAGGAAGATTTGACCTTGTAAGATGTCATGCATGGCTTGAGTGTGTAAGAAGAAAGCTTCTTTTTCTTGTCATGAGTGCGCCCTCTAAGGCGTGTAAGGAGAAAAGGAGAGTTGCTTTTTGGCTAAAGGAGTTCACATGCATTGGTTAGAGTTGGGGTGTGTCTTACTCAAGTTCTTGCATCACCTTTCCTTGTCTTGTGTAGCGCCTAAGGTGGGAAAAGCAATCTCATCCCCTTTTTCTCTTTGCTAGACCGAGATGGACATGTGAGGAGGGTGAAATCTTCATTCAAATTGTCCAATCACGTGTTGCCACCTCATCTAGGGTTTATTCTTGAATTGGGTTGGGCTTGGTGAGTGTCTTGGCCCATTAAGTTAATAGGTGTTGTTGGACCATTAGTAATTAGGTCAAGGCTAAGTGGTGTGGGCTTGGATCTTTGTTTAGATACTAATTGGGCCATTTCTTATAAAATGGGCTTGCATTGCTTTGGGCTTAAATCCTTTAACTTAGTCATATTCTTAAGTAGGTTGGGCTTTAACTTTATTTGGGCTTTAAATCACATTGGGCTAAGTTATTAATTATGTTATTTAAAGTGGGTTCTAACTTAGGACTAATGTTGTTTATTCAAAGTTACTCGTTCACTGAATATGGGCTTGATCCCTTTTCATTTTATTCCATTAGGCTAATTTCGAGTACATGATTTTTGGGTTATTACATCCACCCTACCTAATAAAATTTTCGTCCCGAAAATTACAACTATTCTAAGTCGGGATACTTCTGTCGGATCTCGTCTTCTCGCTCCCAGGTTGCCTCTTCGGGAGTCCTTCCTTGCCATTGTACATTTACCATTGGTATCACCTTGCTGCGAAGGCGCTTCTCTTCTCTGTCTAGAATCTTGTAAGGTACTACCGGAATCTTCAAGTTGGGTCTTACTTCCAAAGCATCCGGTAACACTACATGTGAGGGATCCGCCAAATACTTCTTCAACTGGCTTACATGGAATACATCATGAAGGTTTGCCAGATTGGGTGGTAATGCTAACTGATAGGCTACCGGTCCTACCCTTTTCAGAATCTGATAGGGACCGATATAGCGTTGGCTTAACTTCTTTACACCGAGAGCTCTGCCAACACCAGTAATAGGGGAGAGCTTGATGAACACATGATCCCCTACTTCAAATTCTAGGGGTCGGTGCTTCAAGTCATAATAACTTTTCTGCCGATCTTGGGCTTTCCGCAACCTGTCGCGGATCATCTTAATCTGCTTTGTCGTTTCTTTCACCATGTCCGGCCCGAACATCTCTCTGTCGCCCACTTTTTCCCAGCATACAAGTGTACGACACCTTCTTCCATAAAGTGCTTCATACGAGGCCATACCGATACTGGCATGATGACTGTTATTGTAAGAGAATTCTGCCAATGGCAGATACTGATCCCAACAACCTTCCTTCTCTAAAGCGCAGGCTCTTAACATGTCTTCAAGTGTTTGTATTGTTCTTTCTGTCTGCCCATCTGTTTGGGCATATGTCGTGCTCAATCGCAGTTGGGTCCCAAACGCCTGCTGTAATGAAGACCAGAATCGAGACGTAAACTTAGGATCCCGATCAATGATTATGCTTTCAGGGACGCCATGTAACCTTACAATCTCTTTTACATAAATCTGAGCCAACTTCTCTGTCGTGTAAGTTCCTTTCACCGGTATAAGGTGTGCTGATTTGGTCAATCTTTCGACCACTACCCAGATGGCATCATAGCCTGCTTGAGTTCTGGGTAGGCCGGTTACGAAGTCCATAGATATACTCTGCCATTTCCACTCGGGGATGCTCAAGGGTTGTAGGGTGCCTGCCAGCCGCTGATGCTCAATCTTTACTTTCTGGCACACCATGCACTTACTTACGTATCTTCCCACATCTCTCTTCATTCCTTTCCACCAGAAATTCTTTTTCAAGTCTGCGTACATCTTGGTGGCTCCTGGGTGTATTGAGTATTGGCTCTTATGTGCTAGCTCCATGACTTCCTCTCTCAGGAGTTTCGTAGTCTATTCTCCCTTGGAAGGTAATTATACCTTGCTGGTTCAGGCTAACACCAGATTGATTCCTTAGCCTCTTCAAACAGTCGACGGCTTGCTGAGCCTGTTTGATCCTTTCTAGTAGTTCGTCGGTGATCTGCACCGCCCAATATTCGACATCGCATTCGCTATTCATCACTGCTAGGCCTAAGTTTCGAAATCCTCTATCAGTTGATGCTCGGCTATCATCATGCTTCGACCATTCTGGTTTTTCTGCTCAAGGCATCTGCAACTAGTTCGCCTTGCCAGGATGGTATTGCAATTCAAAGTTGTAGTCCTTTATGAACTCCATCCAACGGCGCTGTCTCATGTTCAGTTCTTTTTGATCAAACAAATACTTGAGGCTCTTGTGATCGCTGTACACTGTTGTGGTTGCACCGTACAGGTGATGACGCCATATCTTCAGGGCAAACACGATCGCTGCCAATTCTAGATCGTGAGTGGGGTAGTTTTCTTCATGCGGCTTCAGCTGTCGGGATGCATACGCTACTGGTCTGCCACGCTGCATCAGTACACATCCCAAGCCTATCTTGGAGGCATCACAGTATACCTCAAATGGTAAATGGTTCCTCCTAGTCTGGCAGTGTCAGTACTGGAGCTGTAGTCAACATTCTCTTTAACTCTTGGAAACAAGCTTCACATTCTTCGGTCCACACAAAAGGGACCCGCTTTATTGTCAATCGGGTAAGTGGCAATACCTGCTTCGAGAATCCTTCAATGAATCTCCGATAGTATCCTGCTAGTCCAAGGAAGCTCCTTATCTCTGTGACAGTCTTTGGTCGTTCCCAATCTACTACTGCTTCAATCTTGCTGGGATCCACTGCTACTCCTTTCTCTGAGATTACATGTCCAAGAAACTGAATCTCTGGCAACCAGAATTCACACTTTGATGGTTTCGCATACAGTTGTTTCTCCTGCAACACTTGTAGCACAATTCTCAAGTGTTCTTCATGCTCCTCTTTGCTCTTCGAGTATATCAGTATGTCATCGATGAATACGACCACGAATCGATCCAAGTAAGGTTGGAAGATCTGGTTCATGTAGCTCATGAATACTGCCGGGGCATTAGTCAATCCGAAGGGAATGACCAAGTACTCATAGTGCCCGTATCTTGATCTAAAAGCTATCTTCGGGATGTCTTCCGGTTTGATCTGGATCTGATGATATCCCGATCGAAGATCAATCTTCGAAAACACCTTTGCACCTCTTAACTGATCAATTAAGTCCTCGATACGAGGCAATGGGTACTTGTTTTTTACAGTCACCTTGTTGAGTTGCCGATAGTCTGTGCACAGCCTCATTGATCCATCCTTCTTCTTCACAAACAGTACCGGTGCTCCCCAAGGAGACACACTAGGTCTGATGAAGTTTTTCTGTATCAAGTCCTCCAATTGCTTCTTCAATTCTACAAGCTCTAAGGGTGACATGCGGTAGGGTGCAATTGAAATTGGTCCCGTTCCGGGTACCAGTTCGATGGAAAATTGTACTTCTCTTTCTGGAGGGAAAATGGTGATGTCATCGGGAAAAACGTCTTTGAACTCCTTGACCACTGGAATATTCGTCAGTGGTATCTCTCCTGCTCCTACGAGGTTACCTATCAACATGAGGGTGCATTCTCCCTCTTCGGGAGGTGAGTTCTCCACCCATTCCTTGTCGATGCTTATACTGCGGTTGCCGCAGTCAATCACTACTCGTTGCTTGGCGAGCCAGTCCATCCCCAGAATTAAATTAATTTTGACGATTGGGAGTACTATGAAATCCTGCTTATACTTCTTTCCTTTATATAGGAATTCGACATCACTACATATGAGATCTGTCTTGGTAACTTCCCCCGTTGCGGTGGTGATCCGCATTGGGACTTGCAGTCTGTCAGTGAATAAGTCAAACGCTTTCGCCACATAGTCGGCGATAAAGGAGTTGGTAGCACCCGAGTCAAATAAGACAGCTAAGTTTTCACCACAGATATAGATCATACCTTTAACTAGTTCAGCTGCCTGGTCCGCCACATGCTGATCTAGCGTGTAAACTCTGCCCATCCTCGGTGCCTCAGCTGCCATCTGTTGATCTCCCCATTGTGGACAGTCCTTGATGAAGTGTCCTTCTTGGCCGCACTTGTAACATTTCGTCGATCCATTCAGACAGTTGCCGAAATGAGCCTTCTTGCACTTGGGGCAATTGGGAGCCCTATTGTTGTTTCCTCGAAAATTCCCGGGCCTCTTAAACTTGTTGTCATCACGCCCATGGTCTTCCTCCGTGTTTTCCTCTCCATTTCCCATTCTTAGCCATAGGAGCTTTGGATCCAGATCCGCTGGTTTCTGCAGGCTTCCCTTCTTGCAATCCTATTGCTTCCACCTTCCTACATCTATTTACCAGGGTGGCTCGGTCACAGGGGTCGTTGCCAGCTACCAGTTCCGCAATCCTAGCGGATAAACCCCTTTGAAATTTTGTTGTCAGAAAGTCTGGCATGGGCATAGTTCCTCGGTAAGTTGCCAGTCGGAGTAGTTCGTTGAATTTCGCATGATACTGATCCACCGTCATGGTTCCTTGCACGAGTCGGTCAAACTCGCCTTGCTTGCTATCCCGGATTGACACCGGGAAATACTTCTCCAAGAACATTTCTTCGAACACGGCCCACGTAATTGCCGCATTTTGCATCCCCAAGGGTTGGGACGCATTAGGCCACCAATGATTGGCGTCTCCTTCCAACATATACACTGAGAACAACACCTTTTGATCATCGGTGCATTGAACCACTCTGAATATTTTGTCCATGGCCCGTACCCACTGCACAGCTACTATTGGATCGTGTCCTCCTTGAAAGGAGGGCGGCTTGTGCTTCCTAAATGTCAGCAGTAGATCTTAATTATTTTGGCCAGCCGCTCCATGTTCTGGCTGCGGTTGGGGTCCACCACTACCGGCTCCTCCAGTGCCTGAGCCACTTGCGACGTTATTATTATGGGTCGCGTTGTGAGGGTTGCGCCTGATTTCATTCAAAATATTCTGAAACATTTCCCCTGCATTAGCCTGCATCTGGGTGATGGTATCCCGTAAGGTGTTAATCTGGCCTTGTATATCCTCGGGTCCTTGCGGGTTACTGCGAGTAGGTACCCTACGTGGAGGCATAGTGCTGCACATATGTTACAGGTAAAATGAAAGAGTTAGAGTGTAATTCTCATCCTAAAGATCAGAAATTTGCTCTGATACCATAAAAATGTAACACCCTTAATATCCTCATCAAAGGTGTAACATTGCTTGACATTCAATGCGCGGAATCCATGTACTTAAGCGTGGTTAACTTAAAGTTTACTAATGGGAATTAATTTCGTTCTTTTCCCTAACTTATCTATTCCTCTAGTCACGAGTTTCTCTTTTGCTTTGTCTACGGTCTACTTACAAGTTAATCTCTTCTTGGTTACCCTGCTCATACTTATGCGCTATTTAGAGGCTCACTTACATGATCATAATTTTAGCTTTGACTACTACTAAGTAGGTAGTTACTTAAGTGTCTTATGCGGATAGTGACTATGTTACTTAATCTTTCCTACTAATTTCATAGTCCATAAAACATAAACATCCGAAATATTGTACTTCAAACGCATATAAAATGTTCAAAATAGTCTAAGTGGCATAGTCTATTACAGTCATCCAAATTAAAATCTTTGGTGCATCTTTAGTAAGGTGCACCCTCAATCCATGGGGATTCCATTTCCTGATCCATAATATAGTTTGCCAGTTCCCACTTTCCTTCAAATATTAGATCAAAAACTCTATCTACAAGGGATGGTGTATTTTCAACTTTATCTGCATATGGCTGCGCAGGTTCCTCTTCAATTCGCACCAACCTCTTTCCCTGCCTTACCCATTTGGTCATTTTTACCTGAAAGGGGATTTCCCAAAGGGGTGAGATTGGGGATCTCAGTAAGGACTCACAGTTTGAGCAACCTCCAAACCATGATGCTTACTCCTGCAATAGTCACATAATAACATGTACAATAATAGAATGGCAAAACATTGGAAGCATAGTTTGGAAAATAATCATGCTTTCATATCATCATACCAACCCTGCCATGGCAATTACTCTCCATGGTCTTATGGACGAATACCCAGTGTCCTCGTCAGGTTGCCTCTGTGGTATTAGTGCACAGGCCATCTTACAAAACTTGCATGAATAAACATTAGTTCCAAACAACCAAGCATATCATGTAATGTATCATATAACATATTGCAGTCAAACCTCACTTTAACATAAAGGGGTGGCAACCATAGGGTAGCCGCTTCAACAACCATAAATCACTTACACAATAGTCTTGTCTTATTCTTGGTCCTTGCTTGTTCCTCTGGTTTGGCCTAGTAACATAATCATCCTTAGTACATATTCATAAGATCTAACTTGGTTTTCTTCTTGATATAGATTCTGCCCTTTTTAAACAAAATACCTAGGAGATGATTTTTCATTAATGGCTTTCATGTATAGGTCCTATTCTTATTATACAATTCGGCCATGCATCATAATACCAAGAAAACATTCACAAATTTCTCTCCTAGGCCCATTAGGGTTCGGCCTTTTAAGGTCATACACTTAAAGGAAAATTTTAATATCATGTTCATGGGTCTAATGCTCACATAAAACGATAGATCCTTAAATCAAACCTTGGACAATACTCTTCATTAAACTCGGTCATTTAGGGTTAAGGTCATAAAAAGGAGATTTTTCAAATGCTACTTACATACACATCATGCTAGCACTTTCCATGGTACTTAAAAGAAAAATATCACGCATTTAGGAAGGTATATAGGTTCGGCCATTTAGGGTTCATGCCGTTAGGAGATGATTTTTAAAGGATGCTCACTTATCATGCTAACACCCTCACTTCAACCCTCTCTATGAAGCTTTTACCTTACCTATGTGGGTGATGGCAAGAGAGTTTGAAGAGCTTAGAATAATTTTAAGGTGATCTTAGGTCCTATTACTTGTTATGGCCGAAGCTTAGGAGTAAAGGAGATTAAGTGTTTGAGTGTTTACTTGCTTGGCTTGATGAGGAGAGAAATGGCCGAAGCTTAGGGAAGAAGGGGAAGGAAGAAGTCCTTTATCTTGTTGCTTGGTGCTTCACGGCCTTAGGGGGAGGAGGAAGCTCTTTGCTTGATCTTTTATTCAAGCCTTGCAATTATTTCCTTGAGGTATTAGGTTATGACTTGTGAGTGTGTAGAAAGCTATCTACATGCATTGGGTGAAGGGTACTTGAGTGTAACTTGTGAATGTGGGGGAAGTTATCTACATGCATTGGTGGTGAATGGTGTTTGGGTGTGGAATGTGAGCAATCTTTCCTTGTTCTTTGTTGATGGTCGAGTGTGTAAGGATGAGAGGTGATGCATGTGTTCCACTTGGCACTTGATTCAAAGAGGGTTTGAGTGTGAATTTGCAATAGGGTTTCTTGGCTCCTTGAGTGATGTGGCCGTGAGGAGAGAGGGGCTTTGGTCATGTGACTTCCCTTGGTGACCGTGTATGCCTAGGGAGGAGGAAGATTTGACCTTGTAAGATGGCATGCATGGCTTGAGTGTGTAAGAAGAAAGCTTCCTCTTCTTGTCATGAGTGCGCCCTCCAAGGTGTGTAAGGAGAAAATGAGAGTTGCTTTTTGGAGAAAGAAGATCACATGCATGGTTAAGGCTTGGAGTGTGGAAGAAGCAATCTTTCTTTTCTCATCATGAGTGCGCCCTCCAAGGTGTGTAAGGAGAAAAGGAGAGTTGCTTTTTGGCTAAAGGAGTTCACATGCATTGGTTAGAGTTGGAGTGTGTCTTACTCAAGTTCTTGCATCACCTTTCCTTGTCTTGCGTAGCGCCTAAGGTGGGGAAAGCAATCTCATCCCCTTTTCTCTTTGCTAGACCGAGGTGGACATGTGAGGAGGGTGAAATCTTCATTCAAATTGTCCAATCACGTGTTGCCACCTCATCTAGGGTTTATTCTTGAATTGGGTTGGGCTTGGTGAGTGTCTTGGCCCATTAAGTTAATAAGTGTTGGACCATTAGTAATTGGGTCAAGGCTAAGTGGTGTGGGCTTGGATCTTTGTCTAGATACTAAGTTGTCTGAAATTCCTTCCTTATGGAAATTCCTTTCTCAGTATGTGTTCAATTTCCATTGATACACAATGAATATAGCTCGCTTAACCAGAGAAATACGAAAGCTTCAGTAAAAGAGTTTTGAAAATAATTCTTTAAGAACTTCATAGTTTTTCCGTTCCACAGATAGCTTAGCCCATGGCTACTACTTTAAACATAATTATTTCAAACTGAAATCCCATAGACCCGAGATTCAGTTCAGAGATAACGAGTGGAAAAGAAGAGAAATAACACGTATATTTAACTGGAAACAGATTAGGTTACAATAAAATGAAAAGTGGAGAGGTATGGTTGTTGCTCGTGAGGAGTCTCAAGTGGGTGATACAGAATAGAGAAGAAGTTGTTGTCACTTAACTAAAGCTAAAACTATACAACTGAAATGTAAAAGTTACAAAATAAATTAAGTGATCTGTTCTTAAGGAATTTGATGATCTTCTTGGTGCTGGAACGTCCTATTTATAGGCAGAAGAGTGGATGGCAAAACTAGTAATTTTCATTGAGTTGTTTTCTTGACTACATGAAGGGGGAAGTGTGAACAGTGCTCAGAGAGACGCAAGTTGCTTGGATGGGACATTTATTGTTGAGATTTTCCTTTTCTTCTGCAGTCCCCCATGCCTTGCTTTCCTCTTAACCAATAGGAACTCGTTATTCCCTGTTGTGCATGTTTCTTCCCACTTGAGTGATGTACCTCTTATGCTTTATGGAAGCTTCTTTTCAACGTTACCTGCAAAGTGTACAGAGGGATAGAGTTAGTGGACCAGGTGTATTTAATGTTCGTATTCCATTCCCTTTTTTCTACATTTTCCTAAGGATTACATCATCATTTGTTCCCCACTGTGTTTTTGTCATAAAGATATAAAACAAGTGTTTTTAGTGCTAAAGTTGCTCATCAGGTGTGGGAACGGATGGTATTTTTCCATTAAAATGGGCTTAGATGGGAATGAATTTTCGTCCCATCAGGTATACACCGTGAAGCTAAAAGCATATGGGAGTATTGATAGATATAAAGCAAGGCTGGTAGCAAAGGGACGAACGCTTCTTTGAATGGTGATCTGGAAGAGGAAGTCTACATGGAAGTACCACCTGGAGTAAAGTCAACATCTTTAAAACAGAATGTTGTTTGCAAACTAGAAAAAGTACTATATGGCCTTAAACAATCACCAAGAGCATGGTTTGGTAGGCTCTCTTTAGCAATGAAGAAGTTCGGGTATCAACTGAGCAATTCAAATCATACTTTATTTATAAAGCATAACAGAGGAAAGGTGACCATACTCATTGTTTATGTAGATGATATGGTATTAACAGGGGATGATCTAGAAGAAATGAAATCTCTTGAGAAGAAGTTGGCTGCTGAATTTGAAATGAAAGATCTTGGTCCTCTATAATACTTTCTTGGGATAGAAATTACAAGATCCGAATGAGGTATTTTTTATGTCAAAGAAAGTCTATTTTGGACCTCCTAGCTGAGACTGGATTGACGACCAGCAAACCAGCAGACACTTCGATGGAGATGAATCACTCACTTGGTGTCTATCCAGATCAGGTTGAGGTAGATAAGGGTAGATATCAAAGGTTAGTTGGTAAATTAATTTATTTATCACATACTAGACCTGATATTGCATATTTTGTAAGCATTGTAAGTAGATTTATGCACTCTCCTAGTGAAGAACAAATGAAAGCAGTGTATTGTATCCTAAGGTATCTCAAAGGCTCACTGGGAAAAGGTCTTTTATTTTCAAAAAATAATAGACAATGCATTGAAGGCTACACTGACTCAGATTGGGCTGGTGACAAAACCACAAGACAGTCAATTTATGGGTACTTCACTTTCGTGGAAGGAAATTTAGTCACATGGAGGAGCAAGAAACAAAAAGTAGTAGCTAGATCAAGTGCTGAAGCTGAATTCAGAGGTATGGCTTATGGCATTTGTGAACTTTTGTGGATTAGAAATATACTGGCTGAATTGAGAATTACATACAGTCAGCCAATGAACCTGTTTTGTGACAATAAAGCGGCTGTAGAAATTGCACACAATCCAGTTCAACATGACAGAACCAAGCATGTTGAAGTGGATAGGCACTTTAAAAAAGAAAAGCTTGATAATCATACAATTCAGATTCCCCACGTCCGGTCCTAGGAACAACTCGCTGATGTATTGACCAAAGTTGTCTCTGTAAAAATGTTTGAAGAATTCATTGACAAGTTGGGCATGATAGATATTCATGCACTAACTTGAGGAGGAGTGTTGAAGATAGGAATTAGTTTTGAAATATTGTTGTTATTAGATAAGAATGAATTGTTTACATTGGTCTGTTTGTAAAGTTGTTAGCTATTATTTGGTAGAAGTTGTTAGAGATACGTTTATATATATACCTCAGTTAAGATGAGATAATAAATGAAAATAGTGGATTGTTCTCCGGATTAAATTTGGGTTTTACACTACAAAAAAAACGCGGCATTTAGTCACGACGACTTAGCTACGTTCATTCAGCCAACGCACATTTCTTTCAATTTTTCTAAACCCTCCTCGCAAAATGAAGGACCCGAACTGATTTTTCAAATTAACAAGAGGAAGTACATTTTCCCTGACGCACTTTTTTTTTCTTTGACACTTATATTTTTTTGTACTTTCTCAAACTCTTCATCCCTTTCCCAATATATTAGTCTAGGGCTCAGTGTCACATACACTTTGCCTTCCATCACTTCATATAAACCCTAATTCCCCTCAATTTTCCCCTATATTTTACCATTTTTACGCGTTCTGCTTCTTAATTCCCTTTCGGTAACCAATTCACCTCACATAAAGTAAATACGTAGCCACCACGATTGTTGCGTCCTCCGGCCACCGCTACATCGGCTTCCCACTGCTATAGCTTCCTCTGTTTTGCAAAGTCTGAAATCAGGACCTTCGCCTCTTCGAGGCACTGAAGCGGTTGAACCGCGTCAACGTGTCATCAAGACCTCAGAGCTGTAGGATTGTAAAGCTACGCCAACACACTGATGAGTCGAACTTGTAAGCATATCCTATTGTTTGTGTTCGACATTTTCTACACACCTTGAGATTTTAGTCACTGGGATGCTAAATTAGTATGGAAATGTATAATCGAGTTATAATTTCTTTGTAAATTATTATTAGTTTTTATGTGCTGGGCATAAAACCAACGTTATGAGAGAGATTATGATTATGCTCTTATTTTCTTATTCTAGTCAGCGGTAGTGGGAGAGGGAGGTATCCTTCAGGAAGAGGTGGTTTCCGAAGCGAGAGCTTCAGAGGACGTGGGAAGTTTGGTGGTGGACGGAGTTATGGAAGAAATGAATTCAGAAACCAAGGAGAGTTCTCAGGGTGACCTAAGGGTTCAATAGGACAGAAGGGAGAAAGTTCTCAACGACCAAGTCAGAATGGAGGTGGGAGGGATGGACGTCAAGGTGAGGGGAACCTTAATTCTACACCATCAACTTCAGCATGAGCATATTGGTTAATGAAAGAATAGAAAAACATAAACAAAAACAAAACAATAGAGAATGGTGGGTGATAATATTTGTATAGGAAAAGGAAGACAAACACCTCTTTCCTTTCCAATTGTTTAGGCAGAAGTTCAGGTTTCTAGCTTTCATCATTGCAATGATCAATAGGTTGATCAGCCCTTGCAGGAGGTGTTTTGGATCGGTCACATCGTTTTTTGTTTTGTGCATGAGCACAAGAACTAATTGAAATTTGTGTTGTGACCCGAAGTTTGAAGTATCTGAATTTCCTTGTGATTTTCTTTAGCTCCATGTGATGAGATGTGACTTTTAGTGCTTGTAAGAAATTTTCCAATTACTTAGTTGACTGTTTACTTATTTAGCATTGGATAGGTGCATAAGGTTTAATATATTATAATCCTGTTATATGTTGTCTTTTATAGGAATTTAAGAGATGATGGCAAGAGTGTTCCATAGATGAGCCTTTAGAACTTGGGTTTGTGAAACTTGTGGTGTTTAACTATTAGAATAGGTGGTGGGTAGTGGGAGATGAAAGCAAAAGTCTTATAGTTACTATATCAACCCCAACTGCACCATATCCCCAACTGCACCATATCCTCAACTCCAGACAACCCAAAAGAACCAACGCCATTTCTGTTCACGCCACCAATGGTTCCTGAACTCCCAAGTAATCCACAAGACCCGCCAGCACCAAGTAGCTTTCTTCCATTTCCAGAGCCATCACCACTTGTGTTGTTGCCACCTCCCTTTAGAAATTGAGTTCTTCTTGGTTTAGGTGCATATGTCTAAATAATCACGAAATTTAAGTCCTTCTTTTAAATGATATATATATATATATATATATATATATATATATATATATATGTTGTCTTATAGTTACTATATATTTTTGTTAAAGCTAAGATGACTTTCTGAATGATAATTTTATATCGTCAGTTTTATTTTCCACATTTACTGGATGGTCATTTTAATAAGTATGACTCATATTAAATGCTTGTTGACTTCAAAGTTGAAACAAACATTGTAAAGTATGTTCTGCTATGAATTTTAATTGTACTCATTCTTAACACTCATAAGTCATGACTAAGCTATTACGAACAGAGAACATAAAAAAGCCAGAGAGTTGTCTCTTTCTTTTTTAATGGATTTTCCAAGAAGGTTCTTTCGGTTGGTGCAAATTTAACAAGATTTAGGGATCCTACCCAACCTATTTCATTAGTTTTTTTTGGATAATTTTTTAAGAGTGTCACTAAAAAACTTAAAAAAAAAAATATTTTGCTGGTTTTACTTTTTATTCATCATGCCATTTTGGTTTGGTTATAGGTTAAGATAGCAAATGACAGTATAGGGGAGGAAGTTGAAAAGTTGGTTGCACAAATTCCAGAAGGTGGTGTTTTGCTTCTAGAGAATGTGAGGTTCTATAAGGAGGAGAAGAAGAATGACCCTGAATATGCAAAGAAGCTAGCTTCTCTTGCGGATCTCTATGTTAATGATGCATTTGGCACTGCCCACAGAGCTCATGCTTCTACAGAAGGAGTGGCCAAATACTTGAAGCCCTCTGTTGTAGGATTCCTTGTGCAAAAGGTATGTAGGAAGCAATTGCTAGTTCTATTTTATGTCTGGTAATTTATGTAGTTGATTGATCTGTTACTTGTTCAATTGTTTCAGGAGCTTGACTATATAGTTGGAGCCATGTCGAACCCCAAGAAACCATTTGCTGCTATTGTTTGGTACTAGCTTGTAGAGTTGGGTTTAGGAATTCTTTGGATGCGCTTACACTTTTGAGCTAAGATATTAATGTGACTTTTATTTTTCGATTATCTTTAATATAGATAATTGGAGGATTCATATATTATAAAATTAAAAAATTTATTTCTTACACATACATAGAAGTATATGGATATCATATTTTTCTTGATTCTCTCTTATCTTCTCACATGGGTAGTGGTTACTTCAATTGATATATATATATATAATTTGATGAGATGTTCCTTAATCCATAATCAAATAATTGGAATAAGAAAACTATACTTGGTATTGTCATAGGCAACCTTCTAGGAAGTTTATTGGCCATTAAGATAAATTTGATGAGATGTTCCCAATATATTCGAAAGGTAAACTGTACTTGAACCAATGATTATTCATATATTATTCAAGTGTTCATTTATGCGGTTTGGTTTAAACCCCTGCATAAGTGTTTTGGCAATAGGATCCTTTATTAACTCTCTGTAAGTGTTCATTTACCAATAGTCATAGTATTTCCAATTGGGATATTTATACTGCATCTTGGGATATTTATGCGGTTGTGCTTTTGAATGATATATTGATGATTTTCTCTTTTAACCATACATATTGTCAAGTTGTAGGATTTAAGTTTTTATATGTGATTTATTTATTTTTGGTTGCAGTGACCGGAGCTTCTTGTGGTTATGCTTTTGTTGAATATGAAACTGGTACATGTTAAAATTTTGTCTAATTTTTAGCTTAAAAAAATGAAGCTTTATGACATGACAAAAACTAAAAACCTATCAAACCTTATTATCTATGTATACAGGGAGCTTATCTGGTAAGAGTGTGAGAAGAGCTAATCTTTGCCATTAAATCTCATAGGGATGGTCAAAATTAGCTCTTCTCATGCTCTCACTTGATATGCTTCGCACGCGCTTGTGTATAATTATTCAGCCATGTTGTAATAGTAGTTAAATTTTGACAGCCTTGACCCCATAAAAATAAAAATAAATAAAAAAAAGTTGATTTTACAACCACAGTTAGAGTAGTTGATGAAATCATCCGGACTCCAGTTGGCTTGTAATATGCCTTTTTATGAAATTTTTAATGGTACTGATATGTTTTGAATTTTTCTCATTTGCAGGATGCTCATCATTGTTTTATTGATGATTAAATAGCAGAGAGATGAGTATATAGATTGGAATGCATAACTGAGAACTTTGATATATAGATTTCAGCTGAGAATATAATTAATTTTATGATAATTTTAAGAAACCCATAAACCAGAAATCAAAATTATACACAGTAACTATTTTTATGTACTTGAAGACTTCTTCGCATGTTTTTTTTGCATTTTGTCTTTTAACTAATTATATTTATATTTATTTTCTATTGCTTACTAATTTATTATTTGATGATTTACTTTTGAATAGGTGGGCCTGGAGGTTTATGCTTCTCCTCTTAACATAATTAATACTTTTAAGGTTTGTTCATATTTTATCTCAAAAATAAAATGTAGTAATTTCTTGACATTGAAAAGTTATGTGACATTTTAACATATCTTGTTTAATTTTTTTTTTATACAGGTATGATTTGGTGATAAACCCTTTTAAAAGGATAGGATGCATGCAACAACAATTCTTGGAAGATAGATTTAAAAAATGTGTTGGTTGAACAATGAAGTTAATATTTTGTATAGATGTCCTGTGACAATCACAAACTTATAGTTTTAGCTTTATTTGGCAATTATTTCTCTTAAATGATGTAAGTGGAAAATTTGATTAGCTCCGCTTATATGAATTGGAAAAAAAATATGAATTTTGAGAAATTGTGTAAAAAACATGATTTACTCATATGAATAGAAAAAAAATATGTATTGTGTTAAATTGTGTATTTCACTTTATTTGATTATCTCCCTTAATTTATGTTTTTGGTTCTTGTATCAAATGCAATTTTTATTATTTGCTATTTATATGATTGGGAAAATTTTTAATTTTTTTAATTTTTTTTTAAAAAAATTCTTATAATTAGCCACGGTTCTATCAGTGGCAAAATAAATTTTTGATCATTGGGATTCAAATCGTTTAGCCACGAATATAACGTGGCTAATGTAACATAAACCGTGGCTAACTCAATGGCTAATGTAACATAAACCGTGGCTAACTCAATGTTACCACACTCATTTAGCCCGTGCTTAAATGCAACAAATATCGTGGTTAAAATAATGCAACGCCCGTTTTAGCCACGGTTATTGAAACAGTGGACAACTCATTTAGCCACTGTTTTTATCAAATTTTGCCACGATTTTTACCGTGGCTAAAAAGCAATTTTGTTGTAGTGACACCCTTCGATTTCCGTGCTGACATGGGTCTTACATATAATTTTTTCTAACACATGGGTTTCACATGCTTTTTATCTCTACAACATGAGAATTGAATTCTCATTTAACATGAGAAAATCAAACCCCTTAAAGTTTAACAGTTATTACCTCAGGTATAAAATGAGATAAAAATGTAATACCAAATTATTATGCAATTAACATTTTTCTTTTAATCCAAGGTGGTGCAAAGAAGGTTATTATTTCGGCCCCAAGAAGGTTATCATATGCATCCTAATCTACATAGTTGATATAAGGTTGAATCACCAATATGTACAAATCCAAGCAAAGTGCCTCTTTGCCACAACAAAAGGCTATGCCGCTGACCCTGTTTCATATGAGTGAGTCGTGTGTATATATATATATATCACCTGGATTTCTTTATCTTTATTTGCTACTTATATTTCGTATTCAATACCTTGAGACAATAGCATAGTGGGAAATCTATTGAGATGTGGGAGAGTCATGATGCACCAGTCCAAGAAGTTAAAAGCTATCAGTTACATGAGTTTGTTACTGGTATTGCTACTTGTTAAAACTTTTTTTCCAACCTCATTATTTATTATTGGTTTATAGTCATTTTTCTAACCAAGTATTTTGACAATTGTGAAAATGTTTACTATGTACTGATCGAGCATAGAAGTGCATTCGTTGGATAAAATTTTGACAATTTACACTGATTTTATTTTAACTAAATTTGTTCCTTGCTTCAATTTTTCTAGTGCTGAATTTTGGCTGCTTGGTGGCAACTCACGGTGCATTGTACTTGTAGATTTTGATATACCTGACATCTGCAAGAGTATGCTTTGGTCTTGGAAAGACATGCTCATAGATTAGCTGCGCTGAGAATTGGACTATGTACTTGCCATACGAGAGAAAGTAACTTTTGAAAAGTCTATTTGTATTTTTACATTCAAGCTTACTAAACAAGATGCAGAGATTTTGGCTACACCACAGGACAGATAAATGGGATTTTGCTTTGGCTTTTCATTGCTCTTTTAATCACCATATTTTGCAACCTATTGATGGATTATGTTAAGTCATTTTAAATTGTTTTCATCATTTATTTATATAATCATTATTTCTTGGGGCCTTTGGACTAGAAATGAACGTTCCACTATCTTTATTCGTTAGAAGAGCAAGCTCACAATTTGGAAAATAGGTGCTTTTGAATAGCATCTTTTGGGAATTACATGGGTAAGTTATTGTATATTTCAAATCATTAAATGCTATGAATAGTTTTTTCTTAAACATCACATGCAAAATTATTCAGGATTGCAAGGCTGCTGCTTCTTCTTTTTTTGGGGTAAACCGCAAGGCTTTTAAAATACATGTGTGAGTAGCACACTGCAAAATGTGATAATTCCAAATATCCTTGTGACCTTGCACAAAAATATGGTTCCGCCAATTAATTAATCAATTAGATAATTATATTTTAAATAACGCTAGCTCTACTGCCAAATAATAACAATAATAATAATTGAAAAACAAGAACATTACATTACATGAATTTGATCAATGCGAGCGCACTGCTTAATACTTATAAGTGCCACTGGTTTTGTGCTTGTCTCTTTCAACCTCATCACATGAACAAGAAAACAATCATGCTGATGGTGAGAGAGCAAGCACTACCTAAAAGAACCCCAGAAATTAAATTTCCCCAATCAACTTCCCTAAATATTTAAAAAACAAAAAATATCGTTTGTTGAAAATAATTGTTATAAATGTACTTTTTGAAAAATATGTTTTCAAGTTCACATATGACTTTCTAACTTACAAGCAGACTAAAATTATTTAAATATATTCATAAACCAATTCATTACAAATTTGTTACATAATTGGCCTAATGTTAAATGATTATTATAGGCTAGTTATAAGTCTGGAATTGATTCTCATCGCTAACTTGTTGGACAGGCAAGAAATTAAGTCTTTTGGTAAGATTAAACTCTCTCCACTTCCTTCTAAAATAGGGCTCATATATGGTGAAATGTAAATTCAACCACTGGTTATGTTAAAAATATAATATTTAATGATATACCTAAAAACTTAAATCAAGTGGTGGCAAGTTGGATTCTCAAGTTTTTCTAGATTGAATTAGAATTTTATATGATATCAGAACCTTGATTGACTAAGTAATCATGGGTTGAAATAATTAATAAATGTTAAAGTACATATTTGTAAATAATTTATAGTTTTATTATACATTTTCTTTTATGCATTTTATTCTTATGTTTGTTATGACAGCTCAAAGTTCGTTATTCTGTCTTTTAGCTATACATATAACTTGCATTCTGTACACATAATCAGTGAGTGGAATATCCAATTCTTGCTTTTTGCACTTTTTATGTTCCTTTCACTTTCTGCATTTTGTCTACTATAACTACAAAAAATCAGTCGTTTAGCCACGTTCAAAAATGATGCAACATTTAACAAAAAACATGGTTAAACCAAACTACCACAGTTTTGCCAAGTGTGGCTGATTCTGGCGTGGCATTTTTTTTGCCACATTTTCTTTTTCAGTTTGCTACTGCTGTCATGAGTGTGGTAGCATTATTTTGGCCACTTTTTTTTATATTAGCCACATTACAAATGTGTCTAATTTATAGGTAGAGAATAAAAAAAATAATGCAATTCTATTTTTTTTTGTAATATGTCGCCATCCAAATTCTGTTTTTTTTTTTTTTGTGGCTATCATTTAACCTTTAACCGAAAAAAAATCTATCCAAAAAAAAATTCATTTTTTTGCCAGGGTAGATGATACCTATCCTTTCTAATACTTATCATAGCCAAGTAGGACTCTTAAATGCATATTCATTGCATATATTCACAAAGATAATCATACGCTTAAGATTGCATCTATACACATGCATATAATAATATCCAGCATCTAGAAAAATATACAAATCCAAGGTAGGTCGACATCAGTTGGGATGCGTTTATAGAAGTTGCCCTAGTATTCCTGTACTTGCTACAAGAAATATGATTATTTGTGACAAAAATTCAGTGACGAATATACAATTTATCACTAATAATATATTATTTGTGACTAAATTTTATTTTGTCACTATTATTTTTTTTAGTTGTGACAAAATGATTAATTGTCACTATAATTTCATTAATAGTATCAAATATATATATCTATCACAAATAATTTGTCACTAATATAAAATTAATCAAAAAACTATTTTCATACAATAAGATCGTCACTAACATAAAATTTTAAAGACGTAAAAAAAGTAATAGTAACAAAATTTTAACTTCTCATTAATATTATATCATAATATTTTTTTGGACATTACAGGGAATCGAACCGCACACCTAATACACACTAAACACACCCAACACCACTAGGCTATCCCTAGTGGTGCAATATTATATCATAATATTGACAATAATAAAACTTATCAATTATTTTTTATTATTAGTGACAAATAATTCATCATTAATGATTTGAAGCATTTATGTCTAAAATTATTTATCACAAATATCTAATATCAATACACTTGATAATGGTGAAAAACTTGTCACTACTATTATAAAAAAGTATTAGGGACAAAAAATTAACTTTGTCATTAATATTCTATTCTATTATTGATAATTACAAAAGTTGTCACTTATTTTTTTAATATTAATGACTAAGTATTAGTCATTAATGATTTGAAGCATTTGTGTTTATAATATTTTGTCACAAATATTTAATATTAATATATTAGTGAGGATAAATATATCAAAGCATGTATAAATTAACAATGCAATAAAATAATGTGTAATTTTTTTTCCTAAAAAAAATGTAGTTTTAACAAAACTTGTTTCAAAAAATAGCAAATCAAACCAACAAAAAAAACTGCCCACTTATCAAACCACCAAAATAATGTGGAATCGAAATGTCTATATCTTTAGGCTATTTTAAATTTGAGTGCAAAAAAACTACCCACTAACCAAATCACCAAAAAAAAAACTACCCACTAACCTTCCTATATCCCAAATTTTAAGGTTTTAATATTGTTTTTTTAACCTGTAAAGAAAAACTGTTTTTATAACAACCCAAAAAATCCGCCTTCTACCTCTCATTCCTAATTTTTAGAATTTTGGAAGTTCATCATGTTTGCAGTATTTGTCTCATACCTTGAACGACGTGCTATCAAAATGTCTTTCTCCATCATATTAACCCTCTTATATCCCAAATTTTAAAGTTTTAATTTTTTTCACAGATCTATTTATGGATCTCTTTCACTAAAGAGATCTATTTTTCTTTTAACCAAAAGTTACGATTTTGTATTTGTATATGGTGCTTTAGCTTGATTTTTAGATAAAGGTTATTACTTTTAATTGGTTTAGATTTTGATTTGGATTCAAGTATGTCAACTATGGCCGAAGACAACTTTGATGACGTTGACATGGTATTTTCTCTCTCTTTCTCTTTCAATTACAATTTGTATAATTGAAACCCTCATG